TAATGTGATTTAATATATAACTAGTGGGGGTATGGCATCGTGCATTAAGGCAAATTGCTGGAACTTCCCGTACCGCAACGAGATGATCGAGGAATATTACATGTTTTAAAATAGATTATTATAAAATATTGTAATATTGTCTAATATTTATAAGAATTATATAAACTGAATTGCAAACTTAAACATATTGTTTAAAGTACATTAGAACTTTAGTCAGAATTGCGATTAAAATCTGAATTATTTTTGATATACAAAAAAAAACTAGTGGGGTGTATGGCATGGTGCATTAAGGCAAATTGCTGGAACTTCCCGTATCGTAACGAAATGTTCAAGGAATACTGAATGTTTTTAATAGATTATTATTAATATTGTAACATTGTCTAATATCTATAAGAATTATTTAAACTAAATTGCAAAGTTGAAATTATTTGTTTGAAGTATATTAGAACTATAGTCAGAATTAAAAAAAATCTGAATTATTTTCGATATACAAAAAAACTAAAAAAAAAAAATGGTACAATTTTTTTTTCCAAAATCAATTATTTTGTTAAAACGCTTAGTTCTCTCAAAAACTGCCATTTTTTGCACATTTAGCTCTGTATCTTCGAAATGGCTGGGCCTGCCATTGCCAAAAACTAATAATCCCAATCATTACTAATTGAATGTTTTTTAGATCATTGAAATCGGATGCTACGTTCAGTCAAAAACTCGAATTCACTTTTCTGCACTCTTTGCTATGTATCTCCGTAACGGCTGGACCTGCCTTTGCCAAAAACTAATCAGCACATCTCCCTATCAATAGGAATCAATGTTTTTTAAACCATTCAAATAGGTTGATCCGTGCGCCCGAAAACGTGGACGAAAAATAGTATTCATACATACATACACACACACACACACATCCATTTTTTCCTAAGTATGCCAAAATGATCAGAAACCTTCAAAACGTCGAGAAATGTAAAAATTTTCAATTTCGATTTCCGGCCATTACAATAACACCCTACGGGAAGTTAAAAAACTCAAGTCCATCATATAATATATTTCCATATTTTCAAATTTTCCAGATCTAATGTCTTGCCGCCTGAGCACGCGCCGTGGCACGACAGCTTCGAATAGTCACTGTTCTCAACGTTACTTGTCATCGTCCCGTGACAGTCTTGTCACGTCACCCGGCGGCGGCGGCGGTCACTACACGGCGGTAACCGGTGTCGGCGGCGGCATTCACCATCGGACACCGATTGATGCGACCGCCGAAACCGCCCTCAGCGATCTGGACATCAGCGCGGCGAGGAGGGATGCGAGGACTAGGTGAGATAAGATAAGATGATACAGAATACAGTTATGGAATTTTATGAAAATTTGGTAGAAACAATCATAAATGTGTTAAGTTATGTTTAACTTAACGGATTTATGATTGTTTTTATTTTATGAATCGAATATTTATAGCATTAATTGGTCGATAATTCAAAAATAAAAAGTTCAAATATGTTCAAATTCACTTAGTTTAGAACTGGGTAAAATTCAAATAACAAGTGTAATAAGAGTTGTTATGGTTTCATTTTTTTGCTACAAGGATGAATTTTTAATATAAAATTGTTGAACAAATAATTTCTAGTTTTTGGTTTTGAGAATATCCATATTACCGTTTTCAAAATCAACTGTCTTTCTGAATCAAAGGATTATCAAATTATTGATTCGGAATATATTATATAGTATTATATAGAGTAAGGTTGCTCAAGTCGTACCATTGCCTAAGACGTACACTGGCTATATTTTGTTAAATCTTTGGTTGGTACCATTAGATGAAACTATCTGCCTAAGTAAGGTTGCGCGACTTTGTGAAATAGAATTAATTAAAAAGTAAATTTTTGTTATTAATTTTGACTCAGTTGCAAGCTTTTTATGGCAAAAATATGATACTTAAATTTTTGAAAAATGTAAAAGTACCTATTTTAAATATAAAAATTAAAATTTTACTAATTGGTAGTCATAAGGCAACTAAACAAAGATTCAATATAATATTTATTTTTATTTTTTCTCTAAATAATATAACATTATTTTTTATGAGATACGACTTCAATAACCTTATTCGATATTATGTTATAGGTTTAATACTATTTCTGGTAGGCATAATAAATGTTTAGTTATATTATATCAAAAAAAATTATACTTTAAAACAAAATGCATAATCTTCAATACTTATATATTTAGTATGCGCTTTTATAATCATATTAGATTTAACTAGGCCATTGTGAATCACATATAAACAAGGTACAAATCATTTCCTGATTTTGACGTAAACATTTTTTTACGTTTTCTTTACGTCTTTTTAAAAAGTTAAAAAGAAAACAAAGAAACAAAGATTTAAGAAACTATTATTCATTAATTCACAAATAATTATTTGTATAAAAATGTCACAAAACACTTAACAATTGAAACTACACCCCATTTGTCAAGTCCAATATAAAATCACGAAAAAATATAAATAACAACCTTAAATTTTTTACACTTGCTAAAATATGAATTTGTTGATTCTTGTAATTAATCATATACGTTTGTCGGATTTGATATTATAATCAATTACAATATATAGAAAAATTACTCAAAATTTTCAATTAGTCAAGTTATTTTAAAATAAATATATGAATGCATGTTTTGTATGATTTTGTATCACGAGTAATTTAGAGTACTAGATTTTAATACAAAACTAGTGAATGAATCTGTCACGATATACTTGGCAAATAAACTACACACCATTCTCCAAGTCTAATGGAATAAAAAATACAAAAAAATAAAATAACCACCTTAAATTTTTTATCTTTGTAATTTTTATAAATTTGAAATTTGTCAAATCTAAGAATTGGTATTATGAATTAGTCGATTGGTAAAGAATCTGTAAAAATATAACTGAAAATCTTCAAATAGTCAAATTATCAAAATATATTAAGTTGAACTCGTTAAGAACTGAACGCGTTAAGCAACTTTGAATATTTATGCCTATGTTTTTAGTTTTTATACTTGAATTATCTTAAACTTTTTACTCTTAAATAAAAAATTATATCTTTATAAGATTCTATTGCCTTGGAGTTTAGAAAATGGTACTAACACCCTTAAAATTTGTTACTCTTGCCAGTTTTGAAAATTGACTACTGTCAAAATTGATATGCGTTAGACGTTTTTATAAGAATATGTAAAAATATTACTTAAAATCTTTAAATATTAAAAAAAAAATTAAGTAGAATGCACATTTGTTTATGTATGATTATGTATAGTATCACAATTATGAAAATTATGTATACTTACAACAAGATTTAACTTAAAATATATTTAATTTGATTGCGCTATTGATCAGACTTTGATTAGTTTAAAATGTTACTGATTCACAATTCGCAATTTAATTAATCGATAACTAAATATTTATAGTCGATGAATGTGGAGTTTAAGTTGCTCAGAGTATTCTTTTCCTCACAGTAACCTAATTATTCCCCAACATAATGTGAAACCGATTATTACCATCCGGTACAAATGATGTTTGTCTATTCCTTATTCAAACACTAAGAGCGCTCACAAATTGGCTGTGTATACGAATGTCGGAAATTAGAGTATTTGCATTTAAGAATTAATTCGCGATGCTTTGCTGTTGGAGCAATGAAGCAGGGGCTGCGGCACAGTGAACGGCGGAGTGAATGAGAGTGAATGAGCGTTTCACATTCAGTTTGCACCGTTGAATATTATATGAGAAGCAAAGTTCACTTAGAAACTTCACACACACAAAGATGGTGGAAGGTGCTCTGAACTAACTTCTGTTTAGAAATAACACAAATTCCCTCGCAAAACCAGAAATCCAGTCGGCTCCGCGTTCAATTCATCTTGGATTACATTCATATTAATAGCATTTATGCATGGGAAGTGTAGTTATTACTCGTGTATGATATTATATGAATTTATGCATAAGAATTATTTTCTTATCTCGTGTAATATTTTGTGCTGGCAGTTCTCACTTTAATATAGATGTAAAAGTGTAAACATCTGCAATATGGCTCTAAATAGCTTTTATGGAGACAGTTTTTACACAATAGAGATTAAATTGGGTTTGACTTCATAAAAATGAAATTCGTTCACATTAACTATCAGTATACTTTATTATGCGATATATGAATAGAAATAATGTTGTGAGCCTAATGTGAATTTTAGAAAAAGTTCGTGATCCAACGAGATGCTGGCGAATTCTGCTAAAATAGGACATTTTTTGCCGTTATAGCTAAAGGGTCAGATATAAATAATTTGTTTGAAGATTATTTTTAATTTAAAGTGTTATACATTTAGTTAAAATGATATGTTGTTAAAGATTGATATATTATATTATATATTTAAATGTTGAGTTGATACTTGTTACTTACGAGGGAACCCTCAGGTTTACTTTTCCCGGATTTTGATGAAACTTCGCATGGTGATAGAGTTGATAGTCAAATCGAACCCCATAAAATACTATAGACCTATGAGAAGTTGTTTAATTATTGATTGTGATTTACAAAGTTTTAATAATTTTATATAATTTTTTGATAGGTTTTTGTTTTGATGCAAGCGACTTCCCATTACATCATTCAGTGTCCAATTATAAATTGACTTGTGATTTAGTTGGGTCAAGTTTCAAAGAATATAATTTCTTAGAAAGGCGAATTAATGACTGAGGAACTGCTTATTTGCAAGGTGCACTACAATATCAGTTTTTTATATAATAAAATAGTGCAATAACAAGGCTTAGATTTTATTTATGATTGCATTCCTGTGCGAAGATTATTTAAATATATTTCGTTAAGTCGTTAACAAATACTATACTAAATATTAATATTGTCATATTATCCCGAAAGGTTTTTATTAACAGAATGGTAGTTTGTACGCGAAATCATATAGTAGAAGTCTTGTAAATGGTTCACAAAAGCAAATTATTTTTTTGGATTACTAAAGGTGGATTAATGACTGAGGAACTGCTTATTTGCAGGATGCACTACTGTATCAGATTTTTTTTATATAACAAAATAGTGCAATAACAGAGCTTAGGTTTTATTATCGCTTATGAAGATTATTAAAATATATCTATATAGACCAGGGTTGATTTTTCGCGTTAACAGATAATATACTAAATATTAATATTGACATATTGTTCCAGAAGGTTCCGATTAACCAAAATAAAGTTTGTACGCGAAATCATATAGCAAAAGTCTTATGAATGGTTCACAAAAGCAAAATATTTTTTAGGATCACTAGATTTAGGATATTGAAATTTTTACTTAGAACAACCAAACAACTATGATGAAATTTGATATGAAATATGATGACAAATGTAAATGACTACCCATAATTCGTGTCCTGTTATTATATTTGGATCACTTTGACCGCATTTTGAAATTAAATAGCATTGTTGAGTTACAATATATATTGGCTTATCATATCACAATTGCAATTGGCTAGCAAAATTATCTACTCTCTAAGCATCTGCAATGCAGATTACTTTCTATTATAATTGTAAAAGTATGATTCAGTATTCTCTTTATTTTATGCATGTTAATAGCTAATTAATTCCATGCTTGAACTTTACGCGTGCTATACATTCTACGCTAGATTTTACATTATCTAAGTTATATTGTAAATTCTTGCTCGAACAATATATACTATACCAGTATTTCTATTTAGATATATGGCTCCATATATATAGTACTCTATTTGAAGCCACAAGCGCTGCTAAGCATTTAATAATTTATCAGAAAACCGCCGTGTTTAAAGTTTGACGGTACTTAGAAAACGTAAATTATTTAGTATATATTTGTTATATGAATAAATCTTGGTGGTAATTAACAATTAAGATTATTGCGATAATAGGCCAAATTATTTATACGATTATGTGAATTTCCAAATTGCTTATTGATTTATATTAGCTAAGCATATTTTTTAATGTATAATATTAACAGCTGCTAATATGTGATATTATGTGAAATGGACTAAAATAATTGAAGGCATATTACTTATTAGTAAGATGGTGTAAATTGTAGTTGTTGTGCTGTTGACATAAAGAGTCGAAGCCAAAGAAATTGTAACAAAATTGTAAATTTGTTAGTAATTATTTTCTACAGTATATTTAATAAAAATAGTTTTAATTGAAACCTGAACACAACACATTGAAATACGTATTCGATATACCCAAAATATTTATGTCCCCAAATTTTCATTTCCAGACTGAAATATCCCGTTACTGGTGCAACATATGGCAGTGGCTGCGATACCGCCCTATTGGGTGCGGGGGGCCGGAGGGGCACTGGATGCTCCGCGGGGACCAATGCCCCTTCCACGAATCACCTGGGCAGTGCCACTGGCAGCTGTAACGGAACTGACAGGTGCGTTGAAATACGGAAATACGGAAAATACGATTTTCATTCAAGGCAGAAGCTGATTTTGACTACAGATTAGCACTTCGTAGATTTGTCACATAAAACTATTATTTGGATAAACGTTGATTTATATATCTTATTTTTGAAGTATAACTTCTTTAGGCGCGACTAGGGTGTAAATCCGTACAAATGCAACGGAAGTGCGCTACGGCAGATAAGAGTCGAACCAATGATTCGTCATTCGCTCTCGATGATATCATTTCTATACGGGTCGATTGTGATTAGTCGTTGCGTATGTGAATAGAGATCTGCCGTTGTATGCGTACCAGCATCAACGTTGTATGCGTACCGATATCAATAAGGAAATCGGCATAGATAAATAAACATTTTAAAGTTACATCGTAGTACAAATCTTGATTTAATGAAAAATGCCCGAATTAGAAGAATATTTTACCCTGTTCCCGTAAATAATTATAATGAAAATAATAAAACAAATGCAGAATTTGCGCCGTGTTTGAAACATAAGTTTATTGAAATAATTTCTATATTATTCGCAGTTTCTATAAATCTTTGAAGTTATTGAAATGGAAAATATTTTTTAGGCAAAACAGATAATACAGCTGTTCAAAGAATGAGATTATATCGCCAGCGAAAAAGTAAAAAAAATACAAGCAGTCAATGAATGTATGTTAATTTTAATTACATGAAGTTCTTCAAACACAATTATTATATGATGAGTGAAGTTGCGAAAACAATATTTGTTTAGGCGTTGTTTAACATAATTCACTGTGTGAACGAATATTATAGAAGTTATCAATCAGCAATTACTTTTATTATTTCTCTAATGAAGGTTCATTTCTAAATGCTAAATACAATGACAAACCGATCATGTCATATTTCAAGTATGACTTTAATTACATTATTGTTTTTAAATATTATACATATTTTTAATGCTATTATAAATATATAATTTATAATTTATCATTATATAAACGTGTATAATGGTTGACACTAATACATATGTGCATCACGAGTGTTACCATATTACTAATAAACATTATTCAAAATTGTTATATGATGTATTTATTTTTACTTAAATGCCATCTTAAATGCAATTAAGTTTTACTTCAATCACATGTGAACCTTACGCGCACTCTTTTTTTAAAAGTAGTGCCAAATGTGTAGTATAAATTATCTCTTTATTTATTAATCAATGAGGAATACAATTGAAAGTTCTATTTGTAATATACATATATATTATTAATATATAATATTTTATTTTTCCAGACGTACAAGGAGTGCCTCGTATCCGACCCGGCCCAAGCATCGAGTAACGAATTGGTCGTTCTTGTTCGATCCCGCCGGACGGTTTATCTACTATTGGTCAATGGTCGTCTCATTGGCATTTCTCTACAATTTCTGGGTCATCATATACAGATTCGCATTTCAGGAAATTACGAGTAAGCATAACAATTTAATTCCTTTTGCAATAAACTAAGCTATATAGCATTTAGGTACTCAACATTTAAACTAGGATAGTAATATTGTGTAGTAGGTAATTAAACCCGTCCGGTATTCAAAATTTGATACTGCAATGAATAAGGTTAGTTAACGTGTTATTATTGCAAATTGGAGATAAATTGTTCGAGATTTCATGATTAAGTTTTTGGTTTAAATTGCTGTCATTACTTTAATGGGATAATATGATTTTTTTTCAATTTTTTAGAGCATCTAATGGGTTGCTGCTATGATTTGATGTACACAATATAATTTTTACATATAATACAATTTACATATAATTTCAAATCATTTGAATTTTAATTTAATTTATTCGTTAGATGGCAAATATATTAACATTATAATATAACATTAGCAATAATAAAACATTAATTTGAATTTTGAATACATTTCATGCTATTTCCATACGAAGTTTTGCTTGCGCACCATCTAAAAGTTAATATTAAGAGCTAAAACTTCCAGAGAATTGTTTTTTATCAATTTGGAACCATTTGAGCATTTGGGAGCAAGGAAATTCGAAAATGTGCATATTGAGGACCACCATTATATATAATATTTATTTTTATATACACATAATATTTAATTATCATATGGAATTTATAGTATTATTGGTGTTATTTTCAATACTTTCGTGCGGTGTATAATGCAATAATAAATGTTAATAGCAATCAAATATTCCAACTCATAAAATATTATATTTGAAATTATATTCACAGATCAGTTTGATAGCAGCTATAATCATTCCATACCTATGATATTTTTGTACTAATTAATTCATTTGCAATTATATAGAATTTAAATAGCAAAGCAATTAAATTATGAATAGCCAAATGCATGCAAAATAATATATGATAAGAAATTTAAAATAACATTTATAAGAAGTTTATATATCAGTTTGATAGTGGCTGTATTTATTTCATATCTATAGTATTTTTACACTAATTTATCTATTTGCTATTATGAAAAATTAATAGCATAAGGCGTAAAAATTGTGAACAGTTGGCCAAATTGGGATGGGGATAATATTTACTCAGGGTCAGTTTGATATCAGATGTAATTATTTTATGTCTGTAGTAATTCTGCACTGATCTATCTTTTTACAAATATTGAAATTTTGAGCACAGAATGTATAAATTGTAAATATAAAAAACAATTAATCTTTTCACTTAAAACTATTTTAACCTATTTCGTTTTCAAGGGCTCGTGACAAATTCTAGGAAAATATTTTATTTACATATTTCTAAAGTTAGGAATTGATTGAAAATTTTACTGAACAGTGTTCGTTATTTGTTTGATATGCATTATGTGTTGTGATGTAGTTGGTTTAGACCAGTGATTCCCAAAGTGGTCCAAATGGACCCCTAGGGGTCCATGGTAACTTTCAAGGGGTCCATGGCAGGAAAATTTTGGGGTCATACAAATGAATGGTAAAGTATAGTAACAATGTGTGCCAAGTTTCATCAAAATCGCAACATGCATTTTTGAGAATATACCATCTGTTTAAATGTTAGTATTGAGCGCGGATTGAGCCACCCATCAACCTCGCATATCTCAGACTATTGAATGTTTTAAATTTAAATTCCTCTCATATATTTAGTAAAGTGTAGTTACAATGTATGTCAAGTTTCATCAAAATCGAATTATGCATTTTTGAAAACGTACAATCTTTTACAATACTAGTATTGAGAGCGGAGCCAGCCATCGATCAACCTTGCATATCTCAAAAACTATTGAACGATTCAACTTTAAATTTCTGTCATAAATTTAGTAAAGTGTAGTAACAATGTATGTCAAGTTTCATCAAAATCGAATTATGCATTTTTGAAAACGTACAATCTTTTACAATACTAGTATTGAGAGCGGAGCCAGCCATCGATCAACCTTGCATATCTCAAAAACTATTGAACGATTCAACTTTAAATTTCTGTCATAAATTTAGTAAAGTGTAGTAACAATGTATGTCAAGTTTCATCAAAATCGAATTATGCATTTTTGAAAACGTACAATCTTTTACAATACTAGTATTGAGAGCGGAGCCAGCCATCGATCAACCTTGCATATCTCAAAAACTATTGAACGATTCAACTTTAAATTTCTGTCATAAATTTAGTAAAGTGTAGTAACAATGTATGTCAAGTTTCATCAAAATCGAATTATGCATTTTTGAAAACGTACAATCTTTTACAATACTAGTATTGAGAGCGGAGCCAGCCATCGATCAACCTTGCATATCTCAAAAACTATTGAACGATTCAACTTTAAATTTCTGTCATAAATTTAGTAAAGTGTAGTAATAATGTATGTCGAGTTTCATCAAAATCGAGTTATGCATTTTTGAAAACGTACAATCTTTTACAATACTAGTATTGAGAGCGGAGCCAGCCATCGATCAACCTTGCATATCTCAAAAACTATTGAACGATTCAACTTTAAATTTCTGTCATAAATTTAGTAAAGTGTAGTAATAATGTATGTCGAGTTTCATCAAAATCGAGTTATGCATTTTTGAAAACGTACAATCTTTTACAATACTAGTATTGAGAGCGGAGCCAGCCATCGATCAACCTTGCATATCTCAAAAACTATTGAACGATTCAACTTTAAATTTCTGTCATAAATTTAGTAAAGTGTAGTAACAATGTATGTCAAGTTTCATCAAAATCGAATTATGCATTTTTGAAAACGTACAATCTTTTACAATACTAGTATTGAGAGCGGAGCCAGCCATCGATCAACCTTGCATATCTCAAAAACTATTGAACGATTCAACTTTAAATTTCTGTCATAAATTTAGTAAAGTGTAGTAACAATGTATGTCAAGTTTCATCAAAATCGAGTTATGCATTTTTGAAAACGTACAATCTTTTACAATACTAGTATTGAGAGCGGAGCCAGCCATCGATCAACCTTGCATATCTCAAAAACTATTGAACGATTCAACTTTAAATTTCTGTCATAAATTTAGTAAAGTGTAGTAATAATGTATGTCGAGTTTCATCAAAATCGAGTTATGCATTTTTGAAAACGTACAATCTTTTACAATACTAGTATTGAGAGCGGAGCCAGCCATCGATCAACCTTGCATATCTCAAAAACTATTGGCCGATTCAACTTTAAATTTCTGTCATAAATTTAGTAAAGTGTAGTAATAATGTATGTCAAGTTTCATCAAAATCGAATTATGCATTTTTGAAAACGTACAATCTTTTACAATACTAGTATTGAGAGCGGAGCCAGCCATCGATCAACCTTGCATATCTCAAAAACTATTGAACGATTCAACTTTAAATTTCTGTCATAAATTTAGTAAAGTGTAGTAACAATGTATGTCAAGTTTCATCAAAATCGAATTATGCATTTTTGAAAACGTACAATCTTTTACAATACTAGTATTGAGAGCGGAGCCAGCCATCGATCAACCTTGCATATCTCAAAAACTATTGAACGATTCAACTTTAAATTTCTGTCATAAATTTAGTAAAGTGTAGTAACAATGTATGTCAAGTTTCATCAAAATCGAATTATGCATTTTTGAAAACGTACAATCTTTTACAATACTAGTATTGAGAGCGGAGCCAGCCATCGATCAACCTTGCATATCTCAAAAACTATTGAACGATTCAACTTTAAATTTCTGTCATAAATTTAGTAAAGTGTAGTAACAATGTATGTCAAGTTTCATCAAAATCGAATTATGCATTTTTGAAAACGTACAATCTTTTACAATACTAGTATTGAGAGCGGAGCCAGCCATCGATCAACCTTGCATATCTCAAAAACTATTGAACGATTCAACTTTAAATTTCTGTCATAAATTTAGTAAAGTGTAGTAACAATGTTTGTCAAGTTTCATCAAAATCGAATTATGCATTTTTGAAAACGTACAATCTGTTTCAATACCAGTATTGAGAGCAGAGCCAGCCACCCATCAACTTCGCATATCTCAAAAACTATTGAACGATTCAACTTTAAATTTCTGTCATAAATTTAGTAAAGTGTAGTAACAATGTATGTCAAGTTTCATCAAAATCGAATTATGCATTTTTGAAAACGTACAATCTTTTACAATACTAGTATTGAGAGCGGAGCCAGCCATCGATCAACCTTGCATATCTCAAAAACTATTGAACGATTCAACTTTAAATTTCTGTCATAAATTTAGTAAAGTGTAGTAACAATGTATGTCAAGTTTCATCAAAATCGAATTATGCATTTTTGAAAACGTACAATCTTTTACAATACTAGTATTGAGAGCGGAGCCAGCCATCGATCAACCTTGCATATCTCAAAAACTATTGAACGATTCAACTTTAAATTTCTGTCATAAATTTAGTAAAGTGTAGTAACAATGTATGTCAAGTTTCATCAAAATCGAATTATGCATTTTTGAAAACGTACAATCTTTTACAATACTAGTATTGAGAGCGGAGCCAGCCATCGATCAACCTTGCATATCTCAAAAACTATTGAACGATTCAACTTTAAATTTCTGTCATAAATTTAGTAAAGTGTAGTAACAATGTTTGTCAAGTTTCATCAAAATCGAATTATGCATTTTTGAAAACGTACAATCTGTTTCAATACCAGTATTGAGAGCAGAGCCAGCCACCCATCAACCTCGCATATCTCAAAAACTATTGAACGATTCAACTTTAAATTTCTGTCATAAATTTAGTAAAGTGTAGTAATAATGTATGTCAAGTTTCATCAAAATCGAATTATGCATTTTTGAAAACGTACAATCTTTTACAATACTAGTATTGAGAGCGGAGCCAGCCATCGATCAACTTTGCATATCTCAAAAACTATTGAACGATTCAACTTTAAATTTCTGTCATAAATTTAGTAAAGTGTAGTTATAATGTATGTCGAGTTTCATCAAAATCGAATTATGCATTTTTGAAAACGTACAATCTGTTTCAATACCAGTATTGAGAGCAGAGCCAGCCACCCATCAACTTCGCATATCTCAAAAACTATTGAACGATTCAACTTTAAATTTCTGTCATAAATTTAGTAAAGTGTAGTAACAATGTATGTCAAGTTTCATCAAAATCGAATTATGCATTTTTGAAAACGTACAATCTTTTACAATACTAGTATTGAGAGCGGAGCCAGCCATCGATCAACCTTGCATATCTCAAAAACTATTGAACGATTCAACTTTAAATTTCTGTCATAAATTTAGTAAAGTGTAGTAACAATGTATGTCAAGTTTCATCAAAATCGAATTATGCATTTTTGAAGACGCACAATCTGTTTCAATACTAGTATTGAAAACGGAGCCAGCCACCCATCAACCTCGCATATTTCAAAAACTAATGAATGTTCCAACTTTAAATTTTGGTCACAATATTGCTGAAGTACAGTAACAATGTGTGTCAAGATTCATCAAAATCGAATTATGCATTTTTGAGAACATATTATCTGAGGATGGTTGGAGGAAAAGTTCAACCATGAATTCAAAGCAATTTTGTGGGTTGATTAATCATAAAAAACATCGCAAGTTAAAGTAAAAATATTAATCCAAATTAAGACATTTATTAATTGAGGTCATAATAATAATAAAAAAGATGTTAACAAGGTGTGTTGTGATCCAATACATGGAGCTCCATAATTCATTTTCATTGACATGGACCCTTGGAAAGTTGTCATGGTCTCGTAGGTACTGGGACTGGGACCACTTTGGGAATCACTGGTTTAGAGAGTATAATTACTGGAAGTCAAATTGAACCTTTGTGCCCCCTTATTCGACTATAAACTTTATCTTTAACAGAAGTAACAGAAGTTTTCTACAAAAAAAAATATTCTTGTTCTAGTTGCCAAGTACAGTCATTATGTTACAATAAGACATTTTTTACCTCATTTCTCTAATTGATTTTCTCAATTTCTCTGCAGGAGACACACTCTCAACGTGGTTCGCACTAGATTACTTCGCTGACTTCCTGTATCTCTTGGACATTATGATTCATTTCCGGACTGGCTACTTAGAGGACGGCGTCCTTCAGACGGACGCGGTCAAATTGAGGCATCATTACATGAATTCAACGACATTCTACATAGACTGCTTATGTCTTCTACCATTGGACTTTCTATATTTATCCATAGGATTCAATTCAATACTCAGGTCGTTTCGTCTAGTCAAAATTTATCAGTTCTGGGCCTTCATGGACAGAACAGAAAGGCATACGAACTATCCAAATTTATTCAGATCGCTGAGTCTTATTCATTACTTGTTAGTGATATTTCATTGGAATGGCTGTTTATATCATATAATAGCAAAAAATAATGGTTTTGGTAGTAAAAATTGGGTCTTTCATGACTCGGAGAGTTCTGACGTTGTGAAGCAATACTTGCAGAGTTATTACTGGTGCACGTTGGCGCTCACCACGATAGGTAATAATAATTTACATTTTTTTATTCATAAATATCAATGTATAATGCTTTCTTACTTACAATCATTTTTTTAGGTGATTTGCCAAGGCCTCGTAGTAAAAGTGAATACATTTTTGTAATTGCTCAATTATTATTCGGTTTACTATTATTTGCCACAGTACTTGGACATGTGGCGAACATTGTCACATCGGTTAGTACAGCGAGGAAGGAGTTTCAGGGTAAGTGCAAAAAATTAATTTATATCTAAATATTTGAAAATTATCTAAACCGTTGCAATATCTATATCTAACCTATCTAAGTAAAGTTGGTGAATATAAATATCTCATGCAAGGCAAGATATAAATAATATTATGTTTTATATGTGTTTGCATCCAAATGTGCATATATCTGCGCATTGCGGACGTCATATTTTCGATACGATTTAGTGTCGTAATAAAATCTTATCCATTCGACCGCAAACGGACCCTACTATATTAAAAACTGTCTGACATCGGCAAAATAAGATTTAATACCACATCAAATTCCCGCTTTGCCTCAAAAGTTAGAGAAGCGTGTAATAATTTAGCCAGTCAGATTGCAACCGAATATTTTCAACCCTAAAACCTCATATTTTATTCAGATTATATTATATAATTCTTTGAATTTTTGAATTCGAGAGCATAATCGCATCACAACTTCCATTCATTTAAGTTATATCAAAAACTACCTACGTGGCCATTAAATTTCGAATTACTGTAATTCTATAAATTTGGTTTAGTTTAGTTTTGCCTGGGTTAGTTTATAGTGCCTCCCGTAACTTTTTCTTGCTATGCGAATATAGGTGTGTTATTTTATTGCCAGAATTTATATGCTGCGTTAAAATTTAGTGTCGAATTACTTTTCCAATACGTGAGAGGAAAAATTGAATATCATGCAGTGTGGGATTGTTCATCTATATACTAGAATATAAACTAGTAGATATATACACTTTGTCGATATGTTTTTATTCCTAGAATCAATTAAAATCTACTAAATATTGCTAGAACTAATATTTAAAAATTATTGTTATTTTTTAATTCATGACAAAAGTTTACAAAATCACTTATGAATGCGTACATTTACACTCAACGATATTTAAAATCTGCGCCTGCTACTTGGCTGGTTTATGCTCTCAGGGTGGCTCATGGTTTATTCATTTTTTATAATAATGACTTGCATATTTCAGAAATTTTCATAATTTTTAATTTCGACTTTATATTATCCATAATAATACTTCATATTTTTAATAAAACTTTAGCACCTATAAAAATCTTCAAATGCCTTCAGAGCAAAACACCATATAAACTCAACTCTGCCATTGTCTTTATTGCAATAACAACAAAAGTGACACTTGAATTTCATGTTTATCGTCAAGCGGACATCATTCTACGACATGTTTTATATTAAAAAATAACATTACGAGTTGTAATATAATAAAGGTTATGAATATAATTTTATGAGCAGATCAACTTCTCGAAGACGTCGGATTTTAAGTAGATATGAAATAGTTTCATGTGCCGGTAACTTGGAATTGCATTTTTATGTTTAGTGTTATTGTATTTATGTACTTTATTGAAATTTAGCAAAACATTACTTTTGTTGTTTAATCTACACTATAGCCGTTTGGAACAGTTCATTAAATTAAAATTAACAGTTATGAAAATTGGTAGCAGAATATCAATATTGTTGACGAATATAAAGTATAGCATTTTTATATAAATATATTACTAATTTAAGTATTATATAATTAATATTATATTAAATGTTTCAAATATGGTTAAGTTTTGCAGTCTTTTCATTTAATCCGTTTTTTCTAGCTTAATATTTTGCGGAATGCCATATAGTTGCCCTGGAACTAAAAATTGTATATAGATATAAAAAATAACAAAGTTAAAGATAATAATTTAGCCTAATAATTTAGCTTGAAATATAATTTTTATATTTTTTGGAGTATGAGATTTAGCATATTTTTCATAATTTAAAACACTTCTAAATTGCACATACAAGTACGAAAATTTATCAAAATGGAAATGTAATATTATTAATGCAACAACTGCATTCAAATAGATTGCGTACAGCAATAACGCATCAGAATATTTGCATTATTCAACATGGAATTTGAACGATTTTTTGCTATAAAGTACTCAAACAAAAGATCAACTCCGAATATTTTAATTGTCCAATTTTTATTGTCTATCATCGATTTGAGGGGAGAGTATTTTGGTCTAGAGGCATGAGTTTTATGCGATGTTAGATATAATCTATTTTTTTTCTTACTATATTTTTTACAAGTTATTAATGTTTTGAGAATATAAAAAATCTATAAAAATATAAATAGTTGTAAATTTTCAATGCTAGAAGGTAAGCAAGTAGATGATATAAAAAAATTAATGTTCCTTATTATACCCATAACTTTAGCCGAAGAAGAAAAAATATATGCAGTATTATTCTAGAATAATGTCGCTATGGTATGAACTAAGGTCAAGATAAATTAATTGTTTTGTTAAATAAAATATTTTATCTACAATTTTTTTAATATTATTGAATTTTTTAAAAGTAAAAATCGAATTTTGTAAAGTAAAAATCGGAATTTGCGAATTGGCGCAGCTCACTATAACTAAATTGGTCCAGTAGTAGTTGAGAAATCGTGGCTATCGAGAAAGTCAGTTTTGAGAAAAAAGCGTTTAAAATTTCATTCAAATTCAATAGTCACTCAGCTTTCTAAGACGCAAATTTCAAGAACACTGAAAAAGAAGCTTTCCAAAGATAATTTTGAAGACCTTTAGCACTACCACATCTTTGTAGAAATGAACAGAATTGGCGAATCACTCATTGGAGTGATTCTCCAACTGTCCATATAGTAAAATTTATCACAATAATTTATATGTGTGTTTGAAAGTGTGTGTGTATGAGTGTGAGTGAATGGTATAATCCAAATAGCTCATAGGATTGTACTGTATTCGGATTGAAAAAAATGCGCAGAAAAGAAAACAAAAATAATTTGAATTTTGAAAAATTGTTTTGTACCCATATTCTTGAGTAGTTCAATCATAAAATTATCAAAACATTTTTTTTAAATACTAGACTAGAATACCCCCTGAAATCAGTTTTCATTAATTTGTAATGTATGACACGCAGAAAGAAAACAAATTTCATAATCAATTTATTATTTATATACCAGAACGTACTACCTTTTGTTTATCCAACAATTACAGAGTGAAATACAAAGCTGTATCCACCGCACTTCTGCTGATTTTGCGTTCTTTCCAAATTGATATCTAATATATCAGTTGCTCTTAAATTAGCCGACCCAGCGAATCTACCAATAATGCAACTCTGCCGACCAGCTTATAATTTAGATTTGCTCGTTCCACTTCCTAACCCTTCGCTATCCTACTAAGGGTATACCACTTTACAATATCTTGGCTCAATCTATACAGATTTTCGTCGATAAAACCCGGTGAACCGCTGAACACCCCATATTCTATCCCGCACATGAGTCAGCATGACGACGTATCGTCCGCTGCGTCGCGGTGGAGACGACGTCGCGTCGCTTTTGAATCGCCGCCGTCGACGATCGAAACACGATTCATCAGTGTCACCAACCTGCCAATCCCGTTTCCATCTCCCACAAAGGAATACGATGCAAGAGCTTTTTGCACGGCGAGCTTTGTGGCGGTGCTTCATGCTTGCCACGTACGCGTGTTAGCTTATTGTATATAATTCATCTGCCGTAGCTATAATTAATAATTAATAATGTCTGGGAATTTCTACCAAGAAATAGATTAGCCAAAATAGCATATAACTAAGGCATATGGAGGGTATGGAAATTTACTTCATGGAGATATAGAAATTGTTTGATTACCACTGAATATAGTAAACGACTACGTATTTTCAGTATATATATATATATATATATATATATATATATATATATATATATATATATTTATCAGTATCACCAACCAGTCAATCCAGTTTCCATCTTCTACAAAGAAATACCATGCAAGAGCTTTTTGCACGGCGAGCTTTGTGGCTGTGCCTCATGCTTGCCACGTACGCGTGTTGTGGCTAAATAATTAATAATATATGGAAATTCCTACCAAGAAATAGATTAGTCGAAATAGTATAACTAACAAGGGGAACCTGCGCGTAACTTCCGGGATTTAGATGAAATTTGGCATAATGGAAGATTTTATACCCAAACTGACCACGGTGAAATATTATAGGCCTATGAAAAGCGGTTCAATTATAAAAAATATTTAAAGTTTGCATTTTAGCTGCGTCCGCTATAGATATCTTGTAACGTATTCTCTTAATCGTAGCTGAGTGTGGTCGGAGGTTCGAATAATTTTTTATTATTATTTTTATACGATATTTATAATTGCCTGAGTAAACAATATTAAAATACGATGCAGGAGCTTTTTCCACGTCGAGCTTTTTGGCGGTGCCTCACGATTGCCACGTACACATCACCACGTGGCCTTAATTTTTAATTAATAATACCTGGAAATTCCTACCAAGAAATAGATTACTCAAAATATATAATATAATATAATATAATATAATAAAGGCATATAGAAAGTATGTAAATTCACCTCATGGAACACAAAACTTTATTTTGACTTTAAACAATTATGTAGTGAAATCAAACCAATTATATATTATACATATCAAACAAATAACTAGCTGACTATGTTCAATAAAACTCCACGATAAATCATCATTGTAAAAATGTGTTTTTCAGAAAATTGTTTTCTGGTGTTTTTTATCCCATAGGCGGGAAAATGGGACAGTGAGCGAACAGATCTAAAATCTTTCTTTTAATTTCAAATTAAATAATAGCTACATTATTCAACTAATGCAAAATTAGAATTCGGCACATTTATTACAAAGATAACACTGTATATGGTCTGGTATTTTGTCAGAAATATTCAACAGCAGAAATAATAGCTACATTATTCAAAATTAAGTGCAAAATTAGAATTCGAAACATTTTTTACAAAGATAACACTGTATATAATCTTGATCTGGTATTTCGTCAGAAATTTTCAACAGCAGAGTTGAAATAACCATTTATTTAATTTATTTCTTGTAAATTTGCGCTCTTTATTTTAATTTACTTGTCGCTTGCAAAGATTCAGTTGGTCCTTTTGACCCCATCCACATGCAAGCTTTCATAGGGGTTATATGAAAACTGGAGAATCTGACTTAAAAATAACGTTGCATCTTTTAATAAAACAATTGAAAAAAGTACACTTGAAAATAATATTAAGGTTAGGTAAACTAAACAAGAGTGCTTACAAACAAAAAACGATAAAAATACTGTTGTTATGGATTTTTAAACATTGCCGATTCTCTTCCGATAGGGACGTCATAGAAAGCCAGGTGATGGCTCATTATACATTTCTTTCCTCTACTTTCCATAATATTTGAAAATTATTAATTTTACTAGTTTCTGAGATATCGGTAATAGACGTTTTAATCCGTCGACTTTTAAACCACGCTTTACTCTAAATTACTGTCTATTTATACAGATTTTTGACTTTATTTATGAATATACTAAATTTGGAGGGTTTAGATTTTTTTTTATAACAGAAAACATTTTATAAATTTTAATTTTTTATTTAGTTTATGTATGATATGCTTCAAGATAAAAATAAATACTTTGACAAAATCTGGCTTAAAACTATTGTAATAAAATATTAAATTAGATCTAAATTTGTACGAAAAAAATATTGCAAAACCGTCCATTAATTAACCTTCGATCTGACAAATAATAAATTTAAGCATTTTTTGTAATTAGTACAAATTTGTAATTTGTAACACGTAATTTTGAGCTTAAGTATAATTAACGTATTCATATTTATATAATTAAGCTAGAACTAAAAAATTACTAACTAACTAATCTGGCCCTTGAGCATTTAAAAAACGCACGTCAATTGTGAACCGTATATCAACTAAATTATAGAATTGACTCCAGTTTTTCTTTTCTTAAAATGATGCCAGAATTTTTTCAGTAATAAAATAATCACCTAATAAATTACAGCTGCCTAGTGAAAACTTTATTATATCTGTTTATTGCAAGTTTCCGAGTTAATTGGAATCTTGACGATAACGCCGTAAAAAACTATCGCGACTATAGCGCTCGGGTGTCCCTGTGAAAGCAGGAGCAAATTGATTGACGGAAATGAGAGCCAGGAGAAGACACTTCGACAAACAATGAGACAGATATCACTCCATCTTAGGGATGGGAGCCACTCTTGTTATCTTGTTGAATGGATCTTTGTTAGCAGCGATCCTTACGAACGATAAAAGGACATGCATTTAAGTGATTCTGTTTGTTCTCAAATATATGGTAAAATACGTTACTTTATGAAATAATAGATGAATTTACCGGGCACGTTGAATATTGCCTAATTATGATAATAAACTAGGGGTATTGTTCCTTAAGGCAAATTGCTGGAATTTTCCGCGCCGCAATTTAAAATTT